ACAAGTTAAGCTACAGAAGTGTGAAGTGTTTGATTAGCCATTTAAATAGATCATTAAGCAATTGAGACAGAATATCATATCTCCACCTACGACCTAAATGAACAAAAATTACATCAGGTAACCAAGACAGCAACATGAAAAGTATCATTACATTTGAACATAGTCAACTATCACTTACTGGTTGTTACTATGCACATGCAGTATTGCAGCAAGTAAGCCAAAGAAACTCACCAATATACTGTCAGCATGGTTCATCCGAACCCACAGGCTTGTAAGTGCCAGTGTAACTGGCAACTTAGCTGCAGGATCATGCACTAAAGCTTCATCATAGTAACGCTTGGCTAGATGAAGGTCAAGGGGAAGTCCTTGGCCATGCTCATGCATGTACCCAAGATTAAACATGGCCTGTGCATTAGATTGCGATTTGGCATGCATGTAAGCCTCAGCAGCTCGGTCATAATCCCTGACAGTTCCCTGAGATAAAAGAGAGAGAAACACAACAAAATGAAGTTAGGTTATAGGTAAAGAGTGCACCATGTCTTAAATTGAAAGTTCAAAGCACACACATGCTTAATTCATTTCAAAATCACATACCCTGCCATAGTAATATGCGTCTCCAATTAGTAAAGCAGCATGTTCGTTACCCTGCTCAGAAGCTTGCCACCACAAAGAATGTGCCCGCTGATGCCTTTCTGCATCAGTGCAAAGTCCAGATTCACCCATGCACATGCTTCGTTCTCCATATTTATCAAGAATCCAAGCAGCATTACTTTGTGCCACCTCATAGCCCATCTCGGCCATTCTTGAATACAACATATATGCCTTGCCAACATCACCTTTTAAGTATGCTTCCAGTGCCCATCTGGACAAAGAGCTCCATGGACCTCGTTCCGCAACTAATTTGTATAAGGCAATAGCCTAAGACCACAAGTTCAAACTTGTTAGCACATAAAATTGTTGGAAGAGACTTGTATTTTGATATAATAATCAATAGGGATGGCACTCATATTCAATAATGACCCCATCATAATTATATTCTAATGGATGATGTGATACAAACCAGAGGAAACACATACAATATATCAATGAACTTCTTGAATTGGCAGAATTGTCTCTAAATGAACCAAACTTAAAAGCCATGCTTTTTATGATGATGGCAATAGGGGAGAAGAGACTGAATCAGTTAGCATTAGACAAAAAAATTATTAAAGAAGCTTATAAATTGTTTACAATTGCATAGAGTCAAAACTTATTTTAGTTCTTTTAATAGTGATTTTGTGACATCCAAACATAGAGGTTAAAATATATTATGAAAATTGTGACCATTATAGTTATACATCAATGAAGAATGATCAATGCCTTTTTTTTAAGTAGTATTCTACATATTTTTCTATAAATTTTGTCAATGTATCTAGGCCGCACCGTATCCAAAATATCAAAAGTTCCAAGTAACCGTATCGCACCCGCACTCGTGCTATGTATCCAGACATCATAGGCTAGGCTTCTCCATTCATAACAACTTACTAATTTCCAAAATATGTCTCCATTTCCCAGCACCTAGCCTAATGATACATGTAACTCATGTTTCATGCAACTACCCTCTTCTTAGCATTCTCAATCTGCCAGCTCAGACACTCACCCCTTTCCTTGGAGTGTAAATTTTCCAGATCTTTGGGCCGTTTCCTACTGGGTCCAGGTCCAATCTAAATTATCTTTGGCCCTATCATTACACATAATCTTAAGTGGCGTCGACTGTAGACTGTGTGCACGCACGCATGGGAAAGGGAGTCAGTAACCTTGTACAAAAAAACCACAGATAGGAACCAGGTATATCATCAATAGGCAGAATTACACGGTGGGTCAGTACTCTGATAAAAAAGAGTGTTGTGGATGTATTAAGACTAGTGAAATAGCAATGGAAATGGAGACAAGCTCCTTGCAGAAGGAAATAGAAACAAACAATGGCAAGAAAGCTTCACAAGACGGAGAGACCTCAGCTCTACTTCACAGCAGTCCCCAATGATTCCCCACACAAGTTTCAAGCATAGTTTCCTCTTCTCCTGCGCTGCCATGTGTCAGAGAGGCCTCAACTCAACATTACAGCAGTCCCCAGTGGAATCCTGCTTACTGCCATTCTGTTACAACTGTCCTTAAACTAATCATTCCACATTTCCTATCGCTCCTCCCACACACAATTCACACTTATTTCCCTTCTCTCATGTGCTGCCACGTGTCAGTTCTGTTACATTCCCTTTGTTCCCCATTACTCCATCCTTCTTACCTAACGAAAGGCCTTTCCCTTGCCCAAACATGGGCTGACCACAATCGTTCATCCCATCATTCCTAATTAGGACATCTTCTACATTTTCTTGTCATCTCCTCTTATAAAATTGAACAATGGGTCTATCAGCCACTTAAAGAGGATGTATGACAGGGATACAAGAAAAATTCAAGGTACCCGGAACTAATCAGTTATGTCAACAATATGTCCCATTTTACAAAAAAAACAAATTGATTATTGAAATATTATACCCTATGTCATCAATAATGTAAAGATCAGAAACTACTAAAAAATTATAAATAGCATGGAATCTACAAGCATTCTAACACAAGTAGTTGGTATCCCTTTCAGACTAGTAGTTGATTAGCTGCTCAATTTCTCCTGTCAGGACCACTTGGGTGCTTTCTATTTCTTCTAGTATAAACATTTTAGATCTTAGGCTTTTGGTTTAAGCTACTTATCAATCGGCTTTGAAATTCATCTTCATATTTGGATCTAACAGTTTCCTAATGACTCTATATTTTAGAAAACTATGGTAGTTTCAGCCTATATTATATAAATTAGGTATTATCAAAAAAGCAATAAGGAAGATTTCGTCCTACAGCCTCTTTGTTAAGGTGGTATCACAGTAGTCGATCTCGGATAGCGGCGCAGGGCGGTCGGCCCCAGATGTGGGATAGCGGGATGACCGTTTTTTGATCCTTTTTGGACAAATTACATATAATAATTCTAAGTACATATTTAGTGTAAAAAAAAATAACTCAACCCATAAAATATTCATAAATCAAAGCACAAAGCTTAATAAAAAAACATTAAAATACCAACAAGTTTTAATTGAAGTTCTTAATTAACATCAACAAGTTTTAATTTGATTGAAAATCCTAAAATTACCCTTGAAACGTTTTAAATTTAAGGGGTAATTTAGTTTTCCAGGGGGGAAAAGGATAGCGGGCCAGAAACGGCTCTGCTCCGCTAGTTACCCTATAGTGGCCACTATAGTGTTCTGCACAGCTATGGTTCTTCCCATAGTGTCTGGCCTCCTCTATCCCGCTATAGCGCGGCTATTGACTATTCTGGGCGGTATGGTAGTAATCATTTCAATTTGTATGTAAATAAAGTCCTGCGTCTTGAACAAAGTCAATAGAATACTTTTGTCATAATCATGAATCCCAAATAATGATCTAAGCTTTTCAATCGATTACAGTCTTCTATATCAAGCTTCCAAAATACATCAAAGTAAGATTCAGCAGCATTGAAGAATGAATATTTAGGTCAGTCCAGTCATCTCAAACTATATAACATGACTACAGTGACATTAGATAATTTACCCTTATTGTGCCTAGTAAAACATGTTATATTAAAATTAATATAAAACACAGGAGAGAATCATATTGACATCGGGCTCTTACCTAAATTAATCAACAGTTTTTCATCAGCACTTGCATTTAAAAATAAGACAAACGAAGAATCAACTTACCAATGGAACGTTCTTCTTGAAGCCAACACCAAGATGAAAAATCTTTGCAAGTTGGTAGAAAGCCTTTGGTTGACCATTGTTGGCAGCCACTATAAAATATTTACATGCCAACCGCACATCTCTTTTCACTCCAATCCCCTTGAGAAACATGACACCTAGGTTATAATGGCCACCAACCTCGTCATTTTCAGCAGCCTTTTCAAAATACTCTTTTGCCTGTAATTCAGAAAAAGATATCATAAATTAAGCATAGACATACATAGACACACAATACCACCAATAAAGCGTGTCCCCATTCCATTCCCCAAAAATTTGAAGTCCATACAAACACAAAAAAGGCAAAGATGATCATACTTTAGTGTAATTTTTGCTGTCGACTCCATAGCCTTTGACATACAAATAACCAATCCCATTATAAGCAGAGTAGAGGTGATGCTTAGATGCTAGAGTAAGCCATTCAAAGGCTTTTGTATAGTTCCTCTCAACACCGGCTCCCCTGGCATATATCTCTCCGAGAAGCTCCATGGAGCGAGGCTCTCCCTTCTCCACTGCCTTCAAGAACCACGAAAGTGCCTTAGAATGGTCACGCCTCAATCCACGTAGCCCAAAGTAGTAAAAGAGTCCCACTTTGTACATAGCAGCAGCATTCCCTTTCTGTGCCTGATACTCGAGAATCTGAAAATCCTCATCCTCTTCCCCTTTAGATTTTCTAAGTGCCTCTTTGTTCTCTTCAGCTCCATTGTGTAGCCTAATAGGTTCAATGACGGGAGAATCTTTGGAAATGAGAAAACCATTGACAGCCACTTCTGCTAATTCAGCATAAAGCTTAACCGATTTATCAAACATCTACAACCATTCCAACATAATCAAAAACCCTAACATTATAATAGAATAGAATATAGAAGTTTATATATTAGGAAAAACAAGTGAACTCACATCTTGACGAGTGTAGGTATAAGCAAGAGCCATTTTGGATTGCATATTGCCACCATCTGAAGCAAAATGATGATAAACAAATGCTTTCTGTTTACTCCTCTCTCTCAAAAGCCCCATTCCCCACAAAAACCCTAACACTGATTGTGCCGCCGGGTAACCAGACTCTGCAGCCGTCTCAATCTCACCAGAGCCTTCTTCGATTAGCCTCGCGTCTCCTGTCATAAGCTTGGTCACGGCGGAGTAGTAGAGAGCCTCCGTATCGGATTGAGGTTGAGGTTGCGGTTGGGTGGAGGTTGGTTCGAAGATTTAGCGCCATGATCCAGGGTCGAGATCCTCTTCGGATTTGTGAGAGTCGGAGTCGCCGAACTCGTCCCACTCGGGGGAGGAATCGGGATCGGAAGGGGGTTCGTCTTTGAAGTCTTCTTGGGAGAGGACGAGGACGTAGGGGCGGGCGGTGACGGAGAGAGTGAGGAGAGAGAAACAGAGGAGAGAGATGAATAATTTGGCGGTGGGCATTGCTGTGTTGAAAAATCACAGTCACAACAATTGAAATTCAGAAATAATATAGAAATTTGGAATGAGAAGAACAAGAATGAAGGATAGTGAATGTAAATGGATGAAATGTCGAGGATAGTCAAATAATAGCGTTTTATACAAAATGCTATCTTAAAGAAGTTTAATAATAGCGTTCTGGTACAAAGTGCTATCATAATTACATAGTCTGTATTATATAATAGCGCCCGATTAAAAAGTGCTATTATAAATGTGTTTTTTCCATTTTAATAGCATTTTTTTTAAAAGTGCTATTAAATTAGGT